GACATGAGGGGGAGTAATTAATGACAGAATTTTTGGGTGAATGAACCCTTTAAATATCTGTATCACTAATCAAATCATTACTGACTGTTTAAAAAAGTCTCAAATTCAGTATTGCTGTGTGTTTGTATAGTTAAAGAAGGCCATGCGTGTGATCCCCTGTGTTCATCTGAGGGCTGCTGGGGTCCGGGACCCGATCAGTGTCTGTCTTGCAAGAACTACAGTAGAGGAGGAACATGTGTACCACACTGCAACTTCCTGTCAGGGTCAGTATCTCTCATTCGGCACCAAAATTTCCCTATAGTACTGTATTGGCATGCATCTTCATTGTAACTGTGTATGACATATGCGTTCATAACCATTTCTGATGACAAAGAAGCTGAAAGGGTTGTGATATTTCTGGTCTATTGTGAAATCAGTGGAATTTCTCTGGAATGAACATTTCAGTGTACTGGAATGATTTTGACATTGAAACAGTGCTTAGAAATGCCCAACTCCCTGGGTAGTCAACTAGAGAGATTGAGGCCTTGTCCACACGGACACGGGTATTTTTTTATAACCGTGACTTTTTTTTACTTGGTTAGGCCGTTCGTCCACACAGAAACGCAGTATCAGGTCACTGAAACCGAATATTTTTGAAAACCCCTGCCAGGGTGAGGATTTTCAGAAACGTCGGAACCTTACAGTGTTGTCATGTAGACAGTAAAACCGTGGTTTTTGCGTTGCAACGTCAGAGTATGCGCTTCTGCTGTGCCGTTATCCGCCTACCGGAACGACGTCACTCTGTAGGCCAAAACGCGGGAGTGAGTTAGCATTTTAGCACTACCGGTTCCCTCGCTCTAAAGTCTATGGGATTTTTGAATGGGTTTTTGCTAAAACCCATGAAATAAGGTCTGTGGTGAGAAAAGCCTCTAAATATTTTCACGTTTTGATCTATGACATTATACACACAGTTATAACCAGCTTGCGGATTTTTAAACTTTATTGTGTCTTTTTGTGTTTTTTAAAAACTTAATAGGCTTCAAATAAATTTTTGATTAACTTGTACTGATATCTTGATAGACAAAACGTGTAAGGGTCACAACTCTTTGTTAAACACAGATCTTATTTTTTTGCGATTTTCCAAAAGTCTATGGGGAAAATGCATAGGCTTCCGAGTTGTCCTACAAAGTGACGTCATCACTTCAGCACTCGGCCAACGTGTCTTTACGGTTAGGGTTATATCGCCGCCTGCTGGTGTGGCATGCTCTTGACAGCGCTTCATAACGTGTTTTTGAATTTATTTGACAAGGCCTGAAACACTCCCAAAGGGACCTTTTGATATGTGAGTTGTAGTTAAGAAAAAAAATATATAATTTATTGCTTTGAGAAAATAGATTTTCTGAACCTCTCCACAGTGAAAAACGCGAGTTTGCAGGACCTAAAGGAGAGTGTATGCCGTGTCACCAGGAGTGTGCGGTGCAGCACTACAAACACACCTGCAGAGGACCGGTAATCTTTTGTTCTTTGGTAGAATGCCACTCGCTGTTTGCACAGATTGTTTGATTTATTACGTAATCTCTCCATCTCATCTGTCCTGCAGGGTGCTGATGAGTGTGAAGCATGTGTGCATTTGCAGGACGGGCCGTACTGCGTGTCCTCGTGTCCAGAGGGGGTTCAGGGGGAAAATGGGCTAATCATTTATAAGTTCCCCAGTGGCCAGCACAAATGCCAACCATGCCATGCCAACTGCACCCTGGGGTGAGGAGGCTCAATTAAAGTGCAGTAAAATACATGTTGTGCATGTCATTGTAACTATAATATATTTGCCGTCAATTAATTCTGTATATTTTCTATCTCAGATGTTTGGGTCCAGGTCAGAATGACTGTGTGGATTCATCCAGGTCAGCTGCTGGGTGAGTGTCTCCCTCTACTGGTGCGATCGGTGTATCACCTGTAGTTGCCAGCCGGCATGTAATGGTGTAAACATGTTGTGTTGCAGCTTGCCGGTGACAGCAATAGTGCTGAGCGTTATATTCGGGGTGATGGTCGCATTCTCAGTGTTTGTGCTGAGTGTTCTGTATCGCAGAAGTGTTGCTATCCGCCAAAAACGTGCCATGAGGAGATATCTGCAGAGTGGAGAGGTGTGTGCATATAGTCAAAATGAATTCAACAAATTGAATTATTGAAGTGTTGCATATAACGTTTAAAAATGCATTTAGAGTTTTGAACCACTGGAACCCGGAGAAAAAGGCGTGAAAGTTCACGCTCGGATTTTGAGAGGGTCTGAACTACGAAAGATCAAACTTCTCGGCTCTGGAGTGTTTGGCTCTGTGCACAAGGTACTTACACACTCTGATGTCATTACATGAGCTCATACTGAAACCTGACAATAACTCGTATAAGTTACTGAACCATTTTCTCTAGGTGTTTGCCTAATAAATTGGTGTCTTTTTTTAATTTGGCTCCTTGTTTAGTTCTCCTTTTTCGTTTGTATCTTCACAGGGAGTTTGGATACCAGAAGGAGACACAGTAAAGATTCCAGTGGCCATCAAGACTATCCAAGACCGTACAGGACGACAGACCTTTCAGGAACTTACAGATGTAAGACACGCACACAAATCTTTCCAAAAAGTGTCAAAAAACCCCTCAATCTTCTATTTATTATACGTGCAAAAAATAAAGTACACAGTGCGTTTAAAAATCAACAGACAGAAGTGAAAAAACTGAGTGATTTCTACAATCTAACTGTCCCTTCTGTTCACTTGATAGACATTCTGAGTGTATGTGTGTTTATGAGCTAAAGACAGAGAGCAAATAATACTACTCACAGCCTATATTTTGAAATATTATTACAATTTTAATTAGTTGTTTAGCCTACTACTTTAATTCATTTTAAAATATCATTTTCTATCAAATCTACTGTATTTCTGGATCACTCAAAAGCAGTTTGTTGAGTACAAAACTTCACAAAAGTACAAAATCACACCAACCCCAAACTTTGGATTAGGTTGCACTGTGATTAATAAATTGAACACAATTCATGTTCATTTAATTTGAATTTTTTATTTGTTCATAGTGAGATATATAAGACATTTATAAGACTATTAATATGTATTACTCTGTCACAATGTTAACCATCCATTAATAAAAAAAAAACATTAAAAAACAGCGTACACACAAAATTACATTCGGAATGATTTCTGTTCTGTCTCGCAGCATATGTTGGCTATGGGGAGTTTGGACCACCCGTATATAGTGCGGCTCTTAGGCATCTGTCCGGGACCCAGTCTGCAGCTGGTCACTCAGCTCAGTCCACAGGGGTCGTTGCTGGAGCACATCCGCCAGCGCAAAGACGGTCTCAACCCTCAGAGACTGCTCAACTGGTGTGTGCAGATTGCCAAGGTGAGTGGGTCAGAAAGTCTGGCTATGTGTTTTGAGGTATTCAGGTATTGAGATCATTTCAAGCCCACTTAAACAAACTAAAGTCTTTCCTCACTTGCTCCCTCTAGGGTATGTACTATCTAGAGGAGCAGAGAATGGTCCACAGGAACCTGGCTGCCCGCAACATTCTGCTCAAGAGTGACTTTATCGTTCAAATAGCTGATTATGGCATCGCTGACCTCCTTTACCCTGACGACAAGAAATACTTCTTCAATGAAGTTAAGGTAAAGCAGACTTACAAGTTACACTGCCAGGCAAAAGTTAGGAATAATAAAGCTTTTTTAATGTTTTTGAAAAGTCATATGCTCACCAAGGCTGTATTTATTTGATCAAAAATACAGTGAAACAGCAATTTTGTGAAGTATTATTAAAATATTTTCTCTAAAGAAACATTTCTTTTTATTATCAATGGTGAAAACAATTGTGCTCCTTAATATTTTGAACCATAATACACCACCATTCAAAAGTTTGGGGTAAGTACGATTAAAACAACTAATACTTTTGTTCAACATGGATGCATTAACTTGATCAAAAGTTACAGTAAAGAAATGTATAATGTTATTTCTATTGCAAATGAAACTTTCTGTTCATCAAAGAATCCTGAAAATATATATATTTTACAATTTCTACAAAAATATGAAGCAGCACGACTGTTTTCAACATCGATGATAATCAGAAATGTTTCTTGAGTATCAAATCCGATTGATTTCTGAAGGATCATGTGACACTGAAGACTGGAGTAATGATGCTGAAAATTCAGCTTTACATCACAGAAATAAATTTTAAAATATATTACAATAGAAAAAAGTTATTTTAAATTGTAATTACTGTATATTTTACAATATTGCTAATTTTTGATTAAATAAACACAGCCTTGGTGAGCAGAAGAGACTTCTTTTAACAACATTTAGTGTATGTAGTGTATATGTACTGCTCCGATATTCCAATCAGTTCCCAAACCTGTAATCTCTACTCTGTCTCTGACATTTTTTCCTAATGTTCGTAAATCCTAGACGCCAATTAAGTGGATGGCTCTTGAAAGCATCTTGTTCCGCAGATACACACACCAGAGTGATGTATGGAGTTACGGTGAGTGTTGCAAGATTAAATGGTACTGTAAAATACTGCACTTTGGAGCTGGAGATTCAATAAAAGCCCTCTCTATCTCTAGGTGTGACAGTCTGGGAAATGATGTCATATGGGGCAGAGCCATACTCTGCTATGCGACCACAAGAAGTACCTGATCTGTTAGAGAAAGGGGAACGGCTTTCTCAACCTCAGATCTGCACCATCGATGTCTACATGGTCATGGTCAAATGTGAGTCTTCTTATATCCCATAATGCAAAGTGGAACTGATCTTACAGTATGCTATTGAATTTGATCCCATTTCATAAAACATCTAGCAGGGCATGTTTGCACGAAAGCTTCTCTAAAGATTGCAGGAAAGAATTTTTAAAAACACCAATTATTAAATTTACGTACTGTACATTATAATGTTGTTATTCTCAATTCACTTGCATTTCACAATAATTGCTTTTTTATTATTTTAATGGATTTTGACAAAATGTTATAGAATTTGCTCTATACCATTCAACATTTTTTGACAGAAGTCTCTTAAATATAGTGAAATATAGTAAAAACAGTAATATTGTGAAATATTATTTAAACATTTTTCATATATTTTAAATGTAATTTATTCCTGTGATGGTGAAGCTGAATTTTCAGCATCTTTACTCCAGTCTTCAGTGTCACATGATCCTTCTGATATGCTTATGTGGTGCTCAAGACATTTTTGAACTTCCATCTATTTGCTATTGACCATGTATCAGTCAGAATATGTATATATATCAGTGCATTCCTAATGCAAATGTTTAAACAGGTTGGATGATTGATGAAAATGTTCGGCCAACTTTTAAGGAGCTAGCCAATGAGTTTACCCGAATGGCCCGAGACCCTTCTCGGTATCTTGTCATCAAAGTAAGGCAAACGGACACTTTCATTGTTTTCTGGTTATGTCAGAACTTGGAACTGTTTGGCTGACCGTTGTTGATTGATGTTCCTCCACTAGGAGGAGTACAGAGCTCCTGACTCGGCCTCAGATGAGTCCCATCAGAGAGGAACTGAGATGGACATTCTAGGGGTGGCCCTGGAGGACCAGGAAGATGAAGTCTTGGAAGATACGATAGACATGCCACGCTATATAACACCATCTAGAAGCTTCTCTAGACTGCGTATTGATTCTCATCGGGTACGTTATATAATATTGACCATGATCAATACATAATGGTTTGAAAATTGACTAACAGACACTACTGTTCAAAAACGTGGGATAAGATTTTTCAATGTTTTTGAAAGAAGATTCTATACACAGCAAGGCTGCATTTTGTAATAAAAAAATACAATAAAAACAGGAACATTGTGAAACATTATTACTATTTTAATTTATGTTTAAATTGTATTTATTCCTGTGATGATAAAGCTGAATTTTGAGCATCATTACTTCACTAATTAATATTTCTGTGGAAAACATTACACATTTTTTTTCCAGGATTCTTTGATAATGTTTGTAATGTCACTTTTGATCTATTTAATGCATGCTTACTAAATAAAAGTCTTAATTTCCTTCAAAAACGCACTGTATATAGTCAGATGATTTATGGAGGGTGTTTGAATTACAAATTAAACAGCATAACTTTGACGCTTTTCTTTTTATTATTACACCAGTCAAGTCTGACTCCCTCCAATATTGCTGGATATCTACCAATGATCCCTGGTGTGGAGAGCTCTGTACAGGTCAGTGGTTCACAATAATGTCTAAAGCTCATTTTGGTACAATGGTTTTAGGCTGAGACCATCTATATAGAAACAACATTTGATGGGTTATGAACGAGGAATAATGGACTTGCACATATATTACAGCGTATGCCTTAACACCACTTATAATAGCTCAATATATTGTCCACCTCATTTTGCTGCAGGCGGGATGGGCTTCTCGTTCCCGACTGGACTCTGCGTGCACTGTTTCTGTGAGCTCGGAGGGACAGGGAACTGCAGTGGAACTGGAAATGAACGATGACTTCTCATTGGTTGGCAGCATGAGGAGGGTCACACATCGCGAGGACAGCGCTTACATGTCGCAGCGGGACAGCCTATCAGGGCCTCCAGAAACAATTTCCACAGGCGAAGAGGACCAAAGTGAATATGTGTTACCTGGATTTGGTGAAAGCCCTGAGAAAGGTGAGGATAAGCAAATTAGAGAGATGTGTGTGCATGTAACTTTTATATAATTTTTGCAAAATGTTGACGAGTCAACTTTGTAAGGTCCTGTGACATCCGCACCTGGCGGCCATCTTGTCACAGGCAGTTCGCTCAATCGTAACATTGTGTTTCAATGGTGCGTGTACTTTTTAAATAACCATAACTTGGTTATTTAAACCAATTTTCTACCGATTTTCAAACGGTTTGGTTTGTTCTAAACGTCAGAGATGTAATTATGACACTGCATACTTATGAATATTAAGTGTAAATGAATAATCATCCCGAATTATAGCCATTTGCGTAACATTTGTAAGAAACCAAACCGTTTGAAAATTCGTCAAAATTTCAACGAGATAAGAGTATTTGTGTTTGTGCTGATCACTCATCTTACATCAGCTTGCCTGTGACAAGATGGCCGACGGTGATGGCGATAAAGACTCCATCGTAAGACATCTAGCCTTCTATGATATCTATGATTGAGTCGGTCCCCCTATATTCTCAAAACACTTATACCTATATTTTTTTATATTTTTATTTTATATTTTACCAATCAACAACTTTAAATTAATAGTTTTATATATTGTTTTTAATTCGATTAAGTTGTTCACAATGCTTCATGGGATTGTAATTCTTTCCCTCATTACAGTTGTTAAGTTTTTGTCTGATTTTCAAATACATTTTTGCTTCAAATAATTGTTTTGATTGTGTTGTGTTGTGATTCACATCATAGCCGATTGGTTTGGTTGATGGCAATAAGAAATAAAGTCGCAATCGCAATTAATTAATTTATTTATTTTTATCTGAGGTGGACATTGACTTTCATATTTATGAGTACTCCTGTTAACACATGTCTTGCTTTATGATTTTCTTCAGAAACTCTTCTATTACCATCATCACGTTCAACACGTTCTCAAAGGAAACTGTCAAGAGGTCATTCGGGTGACTTTTTAGAAGTCCGCAACGGTCCAGGTGAAGAATACGAGTATATGAACAACCAGACTCTCTCACTTAGCCATATACCAGGGCTGCTTAAAGATTACAATCAGCGACCGCCCCGAAACCGCAGTGCCTCCTTCAACCCTGCAGGGTTGTACAGCAATCACAAATCTCAAGGGTCCGGCAGACCCAGTAAGAGGTCGTCGATCGAGGGCTCAGAAAGTAGCGGAGGTCTCTCCCAGTCCTCGACTGAACAAAGGAGTCACAGCGATGGCGATTTCCTCTCCAGTGAAGCCGAGTACATGGATGCGGATCTAGATCTTCAGGAGGTTGAGTACGAGTACATGGACATCCATGCTGGAGGAGGAGGAGGACCACCAACCAACATGGTTGTCAAACTTCATCTCCCAAGACCAGTTTCCCACCCTCTTCTCAAAAGATCGCCACAAGACAATGAAGACGAATATGTGGAGGATGACTATCAGTACACGAACAGCCAGCCTCGGCTGAGGAATTCACTCAGGGTGCAGGGGTTAATGGAAGGGGAAGGAGAAGTGTATGAATATGAGGATATGGACTCGTTGGCTGCAGGTGGAGCCTCGGAAGCTGAATACCAGAACATGGAGGGAGAAGACGAGGAGAGTGTGGGACTGAGGGACGGGGAGTGTTCAGGGGGACCGGGGCCTGGAGCGTATGTAAAAGTGCGTGCAGGGATGGAACATAAAGCTTTTGATAATCCTGACTACTGGCACAGCAGGTCGTTTCACAAAACCAATGCTGTCCGCACATAGAGGCGGAGAATGGATTGAAGGAACTTGATGCAAATGAACAAACGCAGGTTGAACTGTCTTCCGTGACCGATGGTCAGGATATTAGTCAATAATGCACTCTACTGACACAGATCCATGATAAAACTGATACAACCATGACAAAATAAATGTATTTTGATGTAAAATGTATTCTTGATGTAAAAACAAAAAGTGCCATTAATGTGGTTTTATTAGAGTCAATAAGTTTTATTAGACCAAAGGTTCATTTTGCGCCGGAGGAAAGGTTCTGCATTGATGGTTCTATAAAGAACCTTTAACATTCATGGAACCTTTCCATTCCACAAAAGGTTCTCAATGGTGGAAACTACAAAAGTGCTTGTAAGAAAAGAAAATAAGAAAATAATTATTCTTAAAGGTTTTAGAGGCCAATTCACACTACACCGACAGACGCAGACTAACACGGACAATCACCAGATTACAGCCAATTTTTATACATTCCACAACCCAACAGACGATTGATCGGCAAAAACAAAAGCTGACTGAGCAACAGGGGTAACACATGGATCCAAGCAAACCTGACGAAGTATCTGTTGTCCTTGGTCGGCGTCTGTCAGTGCAGTGTGAATTGGCTTTAGGGAACCCAAAATGGTTCTTCTATGGCTAGGATGCACAATCCTGTTCCTGGAGATCTACCTCCCTGTAAAGTTCAGTCCCACCTCTGATCAAACCCAACTGAAGCAGCTGAACTCTTGATAGTCAGGTGTGTTTGATCAGGGTTGATCTCATAGATCTCCAGGATCGGACACCCGTTCTGTGGCATTACTGTGAAAACCCTCTTTTAGAACCTTTATTTTTTAAGAGTGTATGGTGGAGGTCCCTGAATTACCAGATTAATGAGCTTCATGTTGAAAGCACTGATTTTTACATTAGGCTACATCTTGATGTGTATGTATGGTATGTAAGAGTGTGGTTACTTAAAATGTTCTGTTAATGCCAAGTTTGTGTAACTCATCGAGTGAAGCCATAAGTTTGCTGTTTGTGCTTTTGTGTTCTTCTTAAATATATGTTATCTAGTGTTCATGAAGTGCCCAATTCAGTCAATAGCTGTTACTGCCACACCACTGTGCGTCTGTTCAGATTGCACTCGAATGATCCCCCAATGTCAAATCTGGGATATTTACATTTGGAATTTATCAAATAATTCTTTGATAATGTCAGTATAGCATAATTGGCTGAGTTTGGGTGAAGTTGTTTTTCTTTAAGAGGTGTTGTGCATGCCTTATGAACAAATCATAATGAAGTACTTGTATTATATTTCAAATGAAATGGCCAGTAAACAAGCTTTTACAGCGAAACTATAGTTTTGTACAAACATATCAAACTAAAGTATTTTCTCAACTTTGTAACAGTTTGAAATGATTTTTATTTACTGTTTGAAACCTGTTGTCTTACACTTTTAATAAAAAAATGTTTCTATATAAACCTTTGCTCTCATACTCCCACATTTTTTGTGTGGTAGTTTCTCAACACATTTTAATATTAGTTTATAGCTATAGTAAGAACTACAAAGACAATTCCTGAACAGCCAGACAGATTTATTTATGCTGTGTGTTTGTGTTTGAAATGGTTATGGAGAACCTATTAGTGGGTGAGTAATTAATTTGATCTTTATCCTTTCCATGAACTTGTCAAATTTTCACAGATGCCACTGACTGTATTATAGCCTACTTTAGCTTATGATTAAGTAATATATATATATATATATGTAGATTTGTTAATGCTTTGTGGCATTTTCAATCATATATTTTTACTATTATGACCTTTTTGCAAAATATCCAAAAGCCTCGGTTGGCTTTTGGCGCCATCGTATATGACGACACCTCCGTTGTAGCTGCGTAGTGGGCGTGGCTACGCTGTGCGTGGAAGCCGTGGGCGGAGCCTGACGGACGGCGAGCCACTGTGGTAGCGTGACTGATTTCTGCTGTCCGCTCAACGACGTACTGACAGAGAGACGTTTTGAGAGCCGGTACAATTATGTCCGACGACGAACAGCAAGAGCAGACCATCGCGGAGGACTTGGTCGTGACCAAATACAAGATGGGCGGTGACATTGCCAACCGTGAGTTTGACGTTATGAGTGATGGAGGTGTTGAGTCGGTGACACGGGCCTCCACGCTGCTCTCTCGTGCATGCCATGTGTTAGGACGAGATGAACAGTGCGGGACATCAGATCCCAGCGCTCTGACCTTATGCAATATGCAGCCACTGAAGACCTGTTTTAAATGCATGACTGTTCCTTCAGTGCACGTCTATAATGCGTGTGTACTTTTTGCAATGCTACAGCATGGAGGGACTCTTTCTGGAGCTAATGCTAGCTAGCATTAGCTCCCAGTGCATGTCAGTGAGTAGACACTTGTGGCTCTCGCAATGCCAGCTGTTAGGGGTTAGTCCTAAAAGGCATAGCATATGTGTGAGCTTTCTACGTGCGTATGTCCACTATTGAAGATCAATGCCTTGAGGGCTTTCCCATCCTATCTGTCAACATTGCTTACACAGGCAGTGAACATCATGAAGATGTTGAGGGGATGCTGACGGAGCTTTTGTTTTGACATTATCACTCCTGAACAGTCGGTGCCAATGACTATAGGTCATTGTATTTTTTGCACAGTGAACTTGAATGGTAGTGCACTACTCTTTGAGCTCCATTGATGACTCCGTGATTTGAGTTTTGCCACATTTCTCGTCTTTGTTGAGAAGAAATTAAGATCTTTTGAGAAGTTCATTCCATCATATAAGCTCAAGAACCTGTTATCTGCAAATCTTCTTTGTGTTAAAGGGATAGTTCACCCAGTAATATATTCTGTCATTAATTACTCATGTCGTTCCAAACCGGTAAGATTTTTGTGAATTAACGAAATCTGAGATCTTTCTGTACTCACCTGACCTGTGCAACTACCACAAGGACACTTCAAAAAGTTCATAAAGAGAGCGTAAAATGAATCCATGAATCGAGCGGTTTTGTCCAAATTTTGTAAACAGACTCGCTTTATATGATGAACAGATTGAATTTAGGCTTTTATTTACTCAAACATTCATCAACACACGCATCAGTTGTGGTAAATGGAAGCTCGCTTGGCTTGCAAGAACCATTGAAGTCCATTATTGTGTTAGGCCGCACGTTTGAGCTTCAGCAAGAACCAATGAGGTCCATTATTGTGTTACGCAGCATGTTTGAGCTTCAGCAAGAACCAATGAGGTTCATTATTGTGTTACACAGCATGTTTGAGCTTCAGCAAGAACCAAATGAGGTTTGTACTTGAGCATCAAGCAGGTTCGGTTTTGCTTCTGTTTTGCTGATCAGTATTTATATGTGAATAAAAGCCTAAATTAAATCTGTTCATCATATAAAGTGATTGAGACTCATGGATTAGTTCAATTCCTATTAATTAGTTGTACAATCTCTTTATGAAAGTTTTGAAGCATCACAATGGTGAGATGTGCTGAGAAAGCACTGAGATGAAATCAAAAATATCATCATTTTGGTTCCGAAGATGAACGAAAGTCTTACGGGTTTGGGACGTCATGAAGGTGAGTAAATGATGACAGGATTTTCATTTTTGGGTGAACTAACCCTTTAAGCCTCAGCCACCCAGACTTCGAGCACACCAAATTTCTATGGACACTGCGACGGTTTTAACATTAACACACTTCTGTTAGTCACACATTGTCATGTGGTCAGAGTTCAACAAACTTTAACATTTAAACAGTGAAATTCACATGATCTTGCGTTTCCTGTCTCGCGCATTTGCATGTGTATGAATGGAAGTCAATAGAATTAAAAGTGTGACAGTCCTTTATAAGTGTTTTTTTCTTCAGGACTTTGTTTTTGAAATTTTAGGAATTTTATTTGGGACATTAAGTGGCGTCCCAACACAGTATAAGAACAGTTTTTTGTTTTAAGGAAACAATGTCCTTAAATCCGATGTTAAAAAGGGATAGTTCACCCACAAATTAAAGTTCTGTCATCATTTATTCACCTTCAAGTTGAACCAAAGAATGTTGGTAACCATACAAATTGACTCCATTGTATTTTTTTTCTTCTACTATAAAAGTCAACTGTCATCAGTGTTCATCTTGTCAGAATCCAATGTCCATTAATCATGGACTGTAATACTTCTACCCCTTTAAGAAACTTGTTTTACTCTGTAGATACTTTTGAAAAGGTTTTAAACCAAGTAAATCCAAATGTAGTCTAAAGGCCATTGCACACTGAGCACGAAATATTCGTATGCGTATTTTCGTGTTCGTCAGCTTAAAAATTCGTCACGCATAGAAACCTTGCACACCGAGTCCGTTGCGTATTTCTTAAACCTTTGCGGGAAAAAACGCAAAAATACCAAATGGATTCGTCAAGCAGTGAGGATGATTTTTGCCCTCTCTTATTGAAAAGGGAAGAAAGAGAAAATATTACGTCCATCCAATCCTGAAATTGCGCCGAGAGGAAGGAGAGTTCCTTATCAAGAAGTTGCGAATTTATCCTGAGCGATTCAAAATTTACCTCAGAATGTCAGTGGGACAGTTCAATGCTTTGCTAGCGATTCTGGAGCCACATATTAAAAACAAGACCACCAATTTCCGTGAACCAATCGATTCTGAACGGAGACTGGCAGTGTGTCTGGTATGGACCAGGTATGGACACACACACGGACAAACACACACCCGCGCCGGCCCGTTGGAAGCGCTTGGCAGACAGAACAGCTAGTTATTGTGTATATTGTGCCCAAATAATACATTAGTTATCGAATAGGCTGCTCAATCACACCTTATTCGATCCTAAATTTCAATCTGATTGAAAGGGGAGGTTTATTAATTTAATAATCCAATATAGAGAAGAGAACATAAGCACAAACACTTGATTGAATTGAAAACCGAAACTGAAAGCACGGCGCATATGTGCAATGATTTGAGGACGAGCTCCCCCCGGCCCTGAAGTGTCAAAAGACCTCTCAAAATGCTGGATGCGAAAAACGCAGAAAATCGAACCCGATCCGATTAATTTTATGACGGACGAAAGTTTCGGAGGCGGTGTGCAAGCGTGACTGACATAACGTGAGGTCGAATTTTTTTTTTAACGTGCGAAAATTTCTGATGCGAATTTCGGACTCGGTGTGCAATGGCCTTTAGCATTGGGAAATTTTATATAACTTGTCTTGGACCGAATCCAGTTATTTTAGTAGGAATCCACACTATTGGGAATTTCCAGTAAGAGCTATTTCCCCACACAAATTTCACAGCAGGTTCAAGTTGGTCGTGTGGATTCGCAAAGTAACTTTTTTGTGAGCCATGCTTCATTAATTGGTACACTATTGACATTTTGCTAAAATTTGTGTACCATACCTTTAGTGTCTATTTTTGTGCTCTTCTCTCTTTAGAGGCGTTGCGAGTGGTCATCGAGGCAGCCAAACCAGGAGTATCAGTTCTCAGCCTCTGTGAGAAAGGAGATGCTTTTATCATGGCAGAGACTGGGAAGATCTTTAAGAGGGAGAAGGACATGAAGAAAGGTAGATGTTGTTAAACGCTTGTGGTTTAGAGCCCATTCAGGTTTAGTCTCCTTCAGAGAAATCTGATGGTCTAATTTGAAATATTTCTCTCCTCACAAATTATGCAGAACTTTTTTTTTTTTGTTGAGGATTGGTGGTTGTCCTTTCTTGCAGGCATTGCGTTCCCCACCAGTGTGTCAGTCAATAACTGTGTCTGCCACTTCTCTCCCCTGAAGAGCGACCCAGACTACACGCTGAAAGATGGCGATTTGGTGAAAATGTAGGCAAACCCCCCTCGTGTCTTTTCCTTCCTCTGCCCATATTGTCTCCACTCTATCCCTCAGTGACATCCCAGTGCCGTCTCTGCCCCTTCCGATTGTGTATTCCTGCTTGTTCCCTTGTTTTCTGTGTTTCACTCTGCACGTTAATGTCACACTTGATCATTTTTAGACCTTGTAGAAGCATTGGACCATTAAAGGGATAGTTCACCCAAAAATGAAAATGTTGTCATAATTTACTCAACCTCAAGTTGTTCCAAATCCAAACCTTTATGAGGTTTTGTTCTTCTGTTGAACACATAAGAAGATATTTTAAAGATTGTTGTTAACCAGACACTTGACGGTAGACATTGACTTGCATAGTTTTTAGGCCGTGGAAGTCAATGGCCTACCTTCTTTAAAATATCTTCTTTTGTGTTCAACAGAAGATCAAAACATGTTGAAACAGTTTGAGGGTGAGTTTAAGTTGGATGTACACTGTAAGATTTTCTACTGTAAGACTTAGATCATTAGTCTTACAGTAACACCCGCACATTTACATTGCTGTTGAAAACTGATTCAGTGCCATATTCTGTGACTAGTTAAATATGTCAATAAAAGGGGGTGCCAATATTACAATTCAGTAGAAATATACATAAAATACACAAGTAAATAATACAAACCCAATACAAATAAATTAACATGTATCATAATTTGGGGTGAAATTCAAAAATAAAAATGAAACATTGAAGTGGCCATAACAGATACATGGTGTCTTTTTTAAAAATGGCCTTTTTATTGTATTCATTTGGAGATGCTCAAAGGTTTACAGCAATGGACATTTTCACATTTCCAGGGTTATTAAAGGGTTAGTTCACCCAAAAAAGTGAACTAGACTTCCTTAGATTTCCACGACGCATGCGCGAGATTTGCGATCTGCTCACACCAGCTTACACTACTTCAGATCGCAATTCTCGCGCATGCGTCGTGGAAATCTAAGGAAGTCTCGTTCTGGCCTACAAGAAAGTAAAGAAATAGTCGAATAAACTCGTTATTTTTGTTTGTTTTTTCGCACAAAAAGTATTCGCGTCGCTTGATAAACATATTGTTGAGTCACGGTAGTCACTTGGGATATTTAAACATTTTCTTTATTGACTTTCTGGGCCGTCAAGAGGCAGTCCTTTAGGAGCCAATGTGGTAGTTATACAGCTCTCAAATTTAATCAAAAATATCTTCATTTGTGTTCCGAAGACGAACGAAGGTTTAACGGGGTTGGTACAGCATGGGGGTGAGTAATTAATGACTTAATTTTCATTTTTGGGTGAACTAACCCTTTAACTATGAAGGAAGTCATAGTTGGTTAAACTTCTATAGTGGTGAATGGACAATTACAACAAGTATATTTTTTGCATTCACATCTGCTCAATTTGCAATAGATAAATAAATCCACAATAGCATTTCTAAGGAAAAAAAATAGAGAGAGTGGTCAGAAGAGAGAAAGATGTCAAATTTGCCATCAGTAGTCCCTTAACTAGTTTTAACTCGGCGCCATTAACTAGTTTTCTGAAGTTTAATGTCAAGATAATAAAACACAGTATAGTGATATAAATGTACATTATATGAAACCTTTTTGGGTGGTCTCTGAAAACACAGGAGTTTAATGGCTTTGCTCAGGTTTCCCTGCAGCTGTACGTCTATTTTTCTATGTTGCCTCATAAATATCTCTTATTCTCTCAACAGTGATTTAGGAGTACATGTTGATGGCTTCATCTCCAACGTGGCACATAGCTTTGTTATTGGAGCTACCAAGGTGTGTGTGCATGCATATATATACTTTTTTCCCCCCACTGTTTCTACATTTTTAATTTTAGAAAGCTTCATGGACTTCTTAAAGTGCAATTATAAAGTATAACAAGCCTTTCTGAGATATTTCTAATTGCTCAGTCAGTCCCTTAGTGGTCAAAGTTTTGAAAATGTCCCTTCCCAGGCAACCAATTTCCTAGTTTATTTCACTCGTAGTATTCTGTTTCTTCTACTGCTTAATAGAATAATTCAATAAAAATGTCATGTCCATGTAATAAGTGTCATGATAATTGCAACATAAACCCAGACACAAAACAAGTGACTTTTCGGTTGACTGTTCTTTATCCCCTAATTCTGTGATACAATTTTGATTTCTTTTAGGAAGCACCTGTGACGGGAAGGAAAGCTGATGTCCTCAAAGCAGCACACCTGTGTGCCGAAGCAGCTTTGCGTCTCGTCAAACCAGGCAACCAGGTTAGTACATGATTCACATAATTAATGTGGAAAATAGAGAATGTTGGAACTGTTTAACATCATTAGCTGTTAGCCATCAGCCAGCCCCTCAACACAAGATCGTAGAGAATAGGCAGTATGTCTTTTATTCAAATATAGTGATGGTTTGTTTCTCATGCAAAGTCTTGTATCTTTTCCATCTGCCCCATTTACTTTTTGAAGAACAATCAAGTAACTGAGGCCTGGAACAAGATTGCCCAGTCATTCAAGTGCAATCCAATTGAGGGTGAGTTATTGCTATTATTTCATTTGGGACAGACCAACCACAATTAAACAGACCAGTTCCAGACTAATTCCAGTCTAAAATGGACCAATTCCAGTAGTCACTTTTATTTATATGACATAAAATACATCAGTATTATTACCCCACTCTTGACTCTTTTTAAACTGTTGCGCGTCTTGAAAACGGCGGTTGCTAACAAGTGGTTAAATGAGACTACAGAGGCTGTCGAGGAGATTAAACGTCATCACGCCAAACTGGCAAACTCATTACACTTTTACAGTCTCGTTATGCTTATAACTGAGCTCTTATAAACTATTATAACTTCAACTTTCTGGGAAAATGAAAGTTGCCGGAAGCTTAGTGATGTGACGTTGAAGTCGTGGGAGCATGGTGTAGTTCGTTTATAGACTACCTTTAGCTTTGTACTTCTGGCAACTGCATTTAGGCTTTGAAATTCATAAAAGTTGTTCATCTGTGATATTTATCTTGATGGACAAAACGTGTATGTATCTTTTGTGGATCAAATTTTAATTTGGCGATAATCCAAAAGCCTATGGGAAAATCCTATTGGGTTTTTGTCGAGGGAACCAGTGTGATGCTGACTGTCGGTTGGCCTACATAGTGAGTGTCATACTTGCACCACTCTATTGTCAGTGCCACAGATGAGACGGATCTCGCATACTAGTCTTTCTGTTGGGACGCTGTAAAGCTATGATGTGTAATGATCCAGCTGTAATGTTGGATGTCATCTACTATGACACTATATGAGATAAAATGATCAATTCTTGTGTTTCGAAGCCCATTGTAGTTTTATGAATCACCACTATAAATGGATTGTGCCGATATCGTGTAGTTAATGAAATTCCACACATGCATAACTTGATGCTTCAAAAAGTTCATAAAGTGATCATTAAAGTAATCCATATGAATTGAGAGGTTAATCCAAGTCTTCTGAACACACAATTGCTTTATATGATGAACAGATTTTATTTAGGCTTTTATTGACACGTAAACATTAGGGGTGCAACAGATCAAAAAACTCACGGATCGGATCATTTTTCCCCAAAATAACTGTAATAGCCTACTGACAAATTCTTTAATAATAAATAGACTTAACATTATGATATTATGTTTTATTTTAACTTCACAGGGTTCCAGACTGAAAGTTGAGGGCAGCATCACCTCAAATGAGAACTCACAGCGAGTTCTACAAAAAAAAAAAAAAAAAAAAAAATTCTGGTAGCGTACTGGGGCTGACAATAAATCACTAAGCTTAATTTAGGGTGTAGATGAAATTAACTTAGTTATTATCATTTATAATGTCTTAATATCAATTAATAAAAGTAGTGAAAATATCATCATACTTTTTTCATTTTAGGACAATCTTTAAAGGATAAACAAAAAATGTGTTGGTAATCACATAAAAAAATTCAAAAAAATAAAACATTTATTTATGATATTATTGAAGGAAAAGATGTGTAGTAGGCTACTTGTAAGCATTTGACTATTTCTTACACATTATCATATATAGGCTGATTTGTGGACTGAAAGCCTTCTATAAGTGTTTCTCCTGGTTTCCACGTCAGCTCTGTTTGATCTGATATGGTTTATAACAGAACTCTGCGCCGAATCGGAGTGTTTCTCACTGGATCTCGTGGTGTTGATGTTATTAATTCTGAGGCGAATTCAATGGATTTCTTCACTGGATCTCCTAGTAACAGTGTTGCGTGAGCGAGATCGGCCCGCGACTGGCAAGTTCGGGGCTTTATTTTGTCAATGGATCGCTGCTGCTGCTCCACGGTCCTAATCGTATTTTCGTTCCACTTTCATTTTGTTTGCATTCGCTGCTAGGTAACGACTAACGAGTCGATAGATCGCTGATTGCTCAGACGCACATCAGGTTGTGATATTTGTCTCCGTCTCCTTCCCACAGATGTTTACGCGCGCTATTCTTGTCACGGATTCATTGACGCGCCCCTTCACGCTTTACCACCATGCGTTTAACGTGTGGCAAATTTACTGGTCGCACATGTGCGACTGGATGTAAAATTCAGTCGCACACTCTCAAATTTTGGTCGCAGTCTGGTCTAGAGACCTGAAATGACGCGGGGCGTTCAAGCTTCTCCGTTCCTCCGCTCGCTATGACGAAGCTGTGCGTTGACTGAACAACATGCGCACGTTTTTTTTTTTTTTTTTCATAATCAATCCGCGGATCACGTGTGTGCCGAACCGAAGACATTGATCCGAACGGATCACGGATCAGTGATGATCCGCTGCACCACTAGTAAACATTAATCAACACGCATAAAATAGTGCACATATGATAAATGGAAGTTCAAACATGTTTTATTTTTTGCTGAACCAACCCGTTAATCACATTTATGACACAAAACGTGAAAGCAAAGCAATTCAAAGTATCTGCAGAACCCAGTATGAATATCTGACTGTGATCTGCCCATTGTTCATTGAAGTATTTGCCATTATTATTTATTTTTCCTCTTTTGCTCATGGATAGGTATGCTGTCCCATCAACTAAAGCAACATGTTATTGATGGAGAGAAGACTATTATCCAGAACCCTACAGATCAACAACGGTATAAAACAAAACCAAATATTGTTCCTTTATTTTCTCAAATCAGCAAGTGTTTATGCCGCCACAGAGACATAATGTTTATATTTTTGGGGGAAATTGATCAACAAATGGTTTACTTGCAGTATCGGCTTATAAAGGGGATATGTATTAGTTTTATTAAAAATTGCCTTTTATCTGTAAGATTTTTGCCTGTTGGATGAAATCTTGTGGACAAAGTTTCAGGCTAACCTCTTTTGACTTAAAGCAAGCAACCACATAGCAACAAATGAAATGCCACTCAACTTTTTGCAGCAAAATTTGCATGGGCAAGCATATGTTTGTCTCCTAACAGGAAGGACCATGAGAAGGCAGAGTTTGAGGTTCATGAAGTTTATGCCGTGGATGTGCTGATCAGCACAGGAGAGGGGAAGGTAAGTGATACCCACCCTTTTTACGAACGACACCTGGCATTGTAAATCTTGATCGTAATCCCATAGATCTCAAACAATGGAGACAAATGGACATTATATTACACCATAGGCAAGAGATGGCGGTCAGAGGACAACCATCTACAAACGGGACCCCAGTAAGCAGTATGGGCTGAAGATGAAGACCTCCAGAATGTTCTTCAGTGAAGTGGAGAGACGCTTTGACGCTATGCCCTTCACTCTTAGGTGGGCAAAACCACGTTTCAGTCCTTAGGTTCCTAACTTGGCTAAATCATGTTGCTAGTAGAGAGGTGTACCTGTATTAGATAGTCTGTTCTTAAATGAGTGAAGCAGGTGATGTACAGTTTGATTAGAAGGATGTGAACGATGTTCTGTAGTTTTTGACAATATGCTCTATAAGAATGCTAAAAGAATGACTTAAAAACTTAGTGGATAGTTAGAATTCATGGCAGTTTGGTTATAAAGTCTTCTTTGTGTCCGACAGGGCTTTTGAGGATGAAGGGAAAGCTCGTTTGGGAGTGGTAGAGTGTGCTAAACATGAGCTTCTGCAGCCTTTTACTGTACTGAATGAAAAAGAAGGTCAGTCTCATTATCATTGCACCATTTTTCCCCTGCTTTGTCCCTTTTCTTTACCTGCTCAAATGGTAAGTCCCTCGTTCCACCTGTATTTAGGTGAATTCGTGGCTCAGTTTAAGTTCACAGTGCTGCTGATGGCCAATGGGCCCTTGAGAATCACGAGTGGACCATTTGAACCAGAACTCTACAAGTCTGAACAGGATGTTCAAGATCCTGAACTGAAGGTATGTTAGATCAATATAATCTGTTTAAAATTGACATTAAGGTTTCTCCTACCTTGATGTTTTGGTTTCTTCTGTCATTTTCAGTCTCTGATCCAGAGTTCTGCAAGTCGCAAAGCACAGAAGAAGAAGAAAAAGAAGGTGAGGCCCCATCATGTTTCCTAACATGAATTTTTCTTCTTTAGTAATATGTCCTAAATGCTCTTTTCAATACAATGAAAAATGAATGGGGACAGATGCTGTCTAGAGCCAAAACTGCACCATTAAAGCTCTGTAAAGGTAGTCCTGATGTCTTGTGTGGTATATTACAAATCTTCAGCTTTGAGGAACAAAACAAACATTTAAAAGATGTTTATAAATCGACAAACTCCACGTCTGTTTTAGATCTACAGATCATTTGCACTTCTGCAAAAAACTGGGTATAACATGCACAGGAATTTTCAGCTTATTTCATTGTTTTACATAAATAATAGGTAAGTAATTAAATCGTTGCCATGGAAACATTTGAATTCATGCTGAATGAGAGAGTTGTGTGTGAGCCCATAAATTTAAAGGTCCCGTATTATGCCCCTTTTCATAAGTAAGTCTCTCATGTCCCCAGTATGTAAAGTTTCAGCTCAAAATACCCAACTGATCATTTTTTACAGCATGTTTAAATTGTTATTTTTTGGGGGGGGCTCAAAAAAAAGCGCAGTTTTAGTGTGTGCCCTTTAAATGCAAATAAGCTGCTGCTGCCGGCACAGGGGGCGGAGCTTCATGAGCTCGCTCGCGCTCAGTCAAATTTCATCTCACTGAATGATGATCATATCAGAAACTCTCAGTAACGGTGTTCATTTCTAGTCGGACAATAATGCCTACAGAGTCAGAGTGCTGTATAGAGATGGAACAGGTATAGTTCAGTAGTTTAATTACGGTTATTATAACGTATTTTTCATCTGCTTGTATGTCCGAATAATGATCAAACATATACTTATGAGTAGTTTAATAAAGTTTATTGTACATCATACAAAAGATGAAGCGTCAGTTTTACTTCAGAAAATCACCGTGAGAGCGGAGTAAGCACAGTAAGTTATCAGAAGTGCGCAAGTTGAGGGATCGTTCCTGTGGGCAGACTTTAGTCAAAAAAACGTTCTACTGTCATTAAAGAAGGAAGTAGAGGGATGTAGTCCAAACGGGCCGTTCGATGTAGGCTACTTCTGTTAAATAAAATATCTCGCTTGGCATTGAACTTTGAGCTTTATAATTTTACAGATATTATTTATACTCTAACAACAACATTACACACTAACTAAAGTTTGAAACATGGGATCACGAAGAACGGTACCTTTTAGCTTTGTCGGCTTTGAATTCTGATTTGCAATCTGGTCACCCGATTATCAGTGATTTTAAAGGGATACTCCACTTTTTTTGGAAATAGGCTCATTTTACAACTCCCCCAGAGTTAAACTGCACAAGACCATTATCATTTGTCCCAAAAAAATTACCAAAGTGTTTCGATATTTTTCCTAATTAAAACTTGACTCTTCTATAGTTACATCGTGCACTAAGACAGACGGAAAATGTAAAGTTGCGTAATAATCAGGAAACTTATTATCGTAACAGTTATTGTCATTGATGTGAACCAGCCTTTAATGCTTTTATCATTACGGAGCTGACTGTCCCCATTCATTTTAATTATGTGAAAATAGCGTCAGCCTGCTCATGGTTGATATAAAGTGACTTAAATTTGATGGGTGCACTGTAACCTTTTTGTTCTAGCATTTTGGTTGGTTTACATAACTGAATATATCATCGCTGTATTCTCTGTTACAGGCCTCTAAAACTGCAGAAACCGCTACAGGCCAACCAGCTGAGAATGAAGTTGCAGCCAAATAGAGGCGACACGACTTGACTCTCTCATGAAACCCCCGAAGAGCAAAAACTTCAACGTTTCTCTCCTGCCCTACTGTTTTAACCTCTTCTTTAACAAATGTTTAATCAAGAGTCTGTGTTAAAGCCTTGTTTAAACATTTTTGCCTTCCCCTGTAATGGAGAAATGTCATTAAGATTTGGACTCCAAGCGAGTGCAACAAATTTGTACTTTCATAATGAATCTATTTACTCTTTTGAAGCACTCGATTTACATTTCAACTGGAACACAATGCCTTTTTCAAAATGTAATTAAAAAAACCTTTGCAATTCTTTTGTAGAGTTGCATTTTTCACATGTACTTAATTGAAATACACATGACTGTTTGAAATGCTTTGTTTGGCCCAAAGGTACGCTAGATTAGATTAAGTGGTTTGAAGAAATAAACTAATTCGGCTTGAAGCTATTTCTCAGGGTTAGGAAAATAAAAACAAAATCTCCCTTATCTGAGAAGTAGTTTTGTACAATTGGGATTGAGAGCACATCCATGGAGAATTTCATGTCTTTAGAATTGCAATTTGATGTACAGGATCCCTCTTAGCAGTCTTGAGAAGTTATTGTGTCTCACAAAAGGGAAGATCATGTTTTTTTCTAACTGCCATCCGTAACATTTCATAGTTCATATGTGCGTCTCTTAAAACGCTAGGGAATTGTTTGTTCATTCTTGCATATGTCCTTTTCTTCACGTTTTGGTGTTTTTAATCATCTTTTGTTGATGCAGGGAGATTTTTCCAAACAAATTTTAAAATTAATATTAAAAAGTCTGATTTATTAGGGGTTTTGTTGAAGGTCTGATCCAAAATACATTAAAGCTACTTGTACCCACTGAAGCGGGTTATAACTTCCACTTGCCAAGGGCCAACATATTATCACTATCTTTACTTTTACAAAGCAATAGAGTGCCTGTTTGACTGAATATTCAGATCAAAACTAGGCTCGGACTAGATTGAGAAGCTTTCCAAGCATCGTCTACAATCTTGTCAGTGCAGTTATTTCAAAAGAGGCAATGAAGCAGCTCTAGAGCATTTCTGGATCAGCCATATTATTTGGGGTTTAGTTGAGGTTGGCTCAGTAGATCTTTTGAAATGTTGGTTATTGTGACTTTTTGTTCTGTTTCCAGATTGTAAAGGTTTATGTGGGAGAGGAGGTTGGAAGTTTGGAATCGACACAATCTTGTTTTGTAGTACGAACCATCATATGGGACTATTTTACAACTAATGAAATAAAACATAACTTTGAATAGAATTTTGAAGATTGTCATCATTGTAAAATGTACACTATGCCATGCCTTTGTATCGTTGGTGTACTAGGATTGTTGTTCCATTTGATTTACAACTTCTATGGAAAGTTATGATTAAGACATTTAAAGGGAAAGTTCACCCAAAAAAGAAAAATTGTGTAATCATTTACTCACCCTTATGTTGTTCTAAACATGTATGCGTTTCTTTCTTCTGTTAAACACAAAATAAGATATTTTTAAGAATGATGGTAACTAACCAGACAGTTGACCGTCAACTGTGGAATATCGCACAGCTTTTTACATGTTAAGAATTAACTATCCTTTCAAGTTCATTTATGTTCAGTGGCAGTAAGTGAATGAAATAGCTCTAAGATAAAATAATAGCAACTTTTGGGAGGTTTCTGTCGATGTACTATATATAAACCAAGTAATTGCATTTCTACCGATTTAACTATCTCCAACCAAAAGAAAAGTCGAATATTATTGTCAACAGGGGGCACTGTGCGGCCTAGACTATCAGATCCAGACTGATCCACACTCGTCATGTTCATTAGAGAGAAAGACTTTTTTTTTTATCTTTGATATGATGAGGTATCTTCGATTTAGTTAATTGCAATTAAAATGTCAGTGAGGAAATCTATTGATAAATTTATCTTTAAAAATGCCTTATCTTTTTTTTTTTTTTAATTTGGAGTTGTATCTTTTAAACGAATCAATGATTCTTAACAACTGGATTCGAACCGAGAGCTTATTGGGACTGTCCCGGAAATTAACATGGTTTTATTATAGTAAAAGAGAAGTAATCATGTTTTTTGACGGATTGATTACCATAACCACGTTATGTTTTTATTTTATTTTTATTTTAAGTACAATTATGTTTATATATATAAAGTATTGAATATATTTAGTTTATATCAACAAAATGATTCACCAATGTAGGTTGATATTTCGAATGGAAGTTAGGTAGACTTTCCATGCTTTACAATTTTATTTTTTTATATTAAATTTTAATTAATTATTTTGAACCTTTTTTTGCTATTTTAAATTAAATAAAGTACCCTGCCCCCTTCGATAAATATTTCACGCTGACGGCCTTGAAACCAACATGATACAGGCTAGCTCCCGCTCTGGCTCCCGCTAGAAGAAAGAAAGCGTGCATGAGTTTTGTTGGGGGGGGGGTTTGTAATGCTAATAAACCAATAGTTTGTGGTCAAGGTCCGGTACAATCCAATCCCCGATCCATAAGGGCCCCGGTGGGTGTGACCGAAGAGGCGGGCGCAAGAGAGTGCGATGCTGCTGAGTTCGGTTGAGGAGTTCAGAGAAGCAGGGCTGCGGACGGCGGCATCAGTGAGAGCTGAGAAGGGGCGAAACAAGGGAATATTTGGCCGACTTTCAAAATAACTGGATAATAAAAACTGGACGCGCTGGATTGCAACTCATTCATCTCTTCGTGCACGTAGGTCTCATCGCTGACAGCCCCTGGTAAGTTCACGAGTCTTTTAATTTTGGTCCCGTTTTTTCCCCGTTGCCGTATAACGGATTATTTTTGCATTACTTTTCAAGCAACGGGGAGAGCTCAAGCTAAGCTGGCGCGCTAACCCATGTTAGCGAGCTTGTTATTGCGGTACCTTTAAAAGCAGATAAATACATGTTTAATTTGTAGGATGCTTTGCCTTTGGGCAGCCACGAGCAGCATATGTTGTTTAATGCTCCAATAAAACGTTTGTTGTCCGCCTCGCCATAGGCCACATACCGGGAGGTGATGATGATGATGTTGATGCGGAGGAGAAGGCGCGTGGAGCTCCCGGTTTGCAGGCGCGAGGAATGAGCACGAGCTAGACGGCAGCGAAAACTTCAGCTAGTGCAGTCGAAAATTTTATTTGTTAACGGTCACCTCGCATGGTTTATATAGTATAATATCAAACTATTTGTTAAATCGTGACCGTTAGAAAGTTGGTTGGACGGGGTTTATCATTGAATGAATTTTGAAGGACTGGCCCTGAAGTCCCGCTTCAGTTTACAGGGGATTGTTCACCCGTATAACGGCTCTTATCTGCGAAATAACAGGCACGACCCATTTTCTTTGCCCTGCTTGCTTAATTTTAGCCTTTTCCCCCCTCTTTGAGAATTACAGTATCTTAGTCCAGTTGTAGGCCAGACCATCTGGCTTCTGCTTCGTCTTTGAAAGGCCACTGGAGGTGGTCCTGTGATATTGAGATATTAAAACATATATTATCTGGTATGTGTAAACTGTTTTACAATCAGCTGTTTACTGAAAATATGAGCTTTGTTCATGTTCATATGCAGCATTTAAATATTCATCATCTAACAGTGAGGTGTATGGATGAATCCAGACTTTAAATTTATTCAGTAGTTTATTGTCTTTGTATGTAAGTAAAGTGACTACAACTATTTTATTATTATTATGATACGAATGATTTTAAAATACCAACATGCATGTTGCTTAATGATGTATCTGTGTTCTTGGCTATATCCATCCAAATCCAATGTATTATTTGACTGTTCATACTGCTATGAATAAGCTGTCTCAATGCAGAGTGAATCTCTGCTCTTCCATTACTAACTCCCTCTAACTCTTTTTCCAGGTGGCCTATATTTAGTTCCTCATGCCGGAGATGGCGCAGCGGAGCGGGCAAGAGGACCCCGAGCGGTACCTCTTTGTGGATCGAGCCGTGGTCTACAACCCAGCTTCACAGGCGGACTGGACGGCCAAGAAGCTGGTGTGGGTTCCTTCCGAACGGCATGGATTCGAGGCGGCCAGCATTCGAGAGGAACGTGGAGAGGAGGTGCTTGTTGAGCTGGCTGAAAATGGCAAGAAGGCCCTGGTGAACAAAGATGACATCCAGAAGATGAACCCACCCAAGTTCAGCAAAGTGGAGGATATGGCAGAGCTCACCTGCCTGAACGAAGCGTCTGTTTTACACAACCTGAAGGATCGTTACTACTCTGGGCTCATATACGTAAGTGTGATGTGATGGTGTTTTTGCTTTCAAGTTTCAAGTGTTTTTCTACTTTGGTTTTTGAGGTATTTTTCATTTTTTTATAGGATTATATAGGCTTCTTTGAGCGTGTAGGGATAGGGCTGCTTCCAATGATTATTTTAATTTTTGATTCATTGGATTAAAAAAATCAAATTTTAATTTCACATGTATATGGGTGCCAGACCAGTTCAATGAAGTCTGTGTGTGAAGTTTAACAGCGACTTGCTTGCTGTCTGGACAAACCTTTGTACAAAATGGAAATGCTTGTGGTATATTCTATTTCTAACATTAACAGGTAAGGATGTAACAGTAAAATGTAAAACACTTTAAAAAGCACACATCTGACATGGTGCCTGACAGGGCAAGCCGCATTAAAGGAGTAGTTCACTTTAAAAAAAAAACTTTTGCTGATAATTTACTCACCCCCATCATGTCATCCAAGATGTCCATGTCATTCTTTCTCCAGTCAAAAAGAAATTAAGGTTTTTGATGAAAACATTCCAGGATTTTTCTCCATATAATGCACTTTACTGGGAACCAAACGGCTCAAGGTCCAAAAGACAGTTTCAGTGCAAACTGTTCAAAGGGCTTTAAACGATTCCAGACGATGAATAAGGGTCTTATCAAGCGAAACGATCTCTCATTTAAAAAATAAATAACAGAGTTTAAGTTTTATAAGCTCAAATGCTCGCCTTGCTCTGTTCTGTGATGCGCGTTCGTGACTCTCCTGTTCGAACTCATTTATCAAAATGAACAAATCTTTTTCGTGTCATTTGGTTCATTCAACAAACTAAATGAACAAATTGACTCAGGAAAAGATGACATGGACATCTTGGATGACATGGGGGTGAGTAAATTATCGGCAACATTTTTTTTGAAAGTGAACTCCTTTAATTGGCAAGATGAAAAATTCATATTCATATGAACTTCTCTGTTCTGAGATGAAAGTAGACTTGCACTGGAGTATTGAGAGATTTTTTGGATTCAGAGCAATGGAGATATTCTCCCTAGCTTTATTTCCATATCTGTGTTGTGTTGCTTATATCCAAAGACAATTCAAGTATTTTTGTTTGTTGTCCCTTAAACTGAATGCTTATGAGTTGCATAATATAGGCTGAACTTTAAAGCATCTTATGTTTTGGATGACTTAATGCACTTTTTTCACAATGAGTTGTCCTCCTCTATATTTCAGATGTGTTATGCTCATAGTTATGTGTTTTTCACTACCATAAAGTAAAGTGGCGTGACTGGTGGATGTTTCTGTGCACAGCCACAGACGTGATTAAGCCATAATTTTGTTGATTATTTTCGATTTTATCGATTAGGCATAGTTGTTGCTGCCCTAGTTTGAGTTCATAAGTATCTTGTGGTCCTAAACCACTTTACAGCATGCACTCAGAGAGAGAAAATGGGGGACTTTTATTGTTCAAACGAGAACAAGTGTGAAGCAAACTGTTTGGTGTTTTAGCCCCATCATTTCCTTTATTTCCCTATGAGGTCATTATGGAATCTCAATGAGAGGGGCCACTTGTCTTCACACTGTCCCGCCACTGCTGTTGATCTTCCAACCCAGTCACCACTTAAAAAACCCCACTGGTTCGAATTTATCTAGTTCAACTTTTAATTTCCCATCATTGAAAGCTTTTTCTGGTCGTTGGAAACCGAAATTCGCTCGACTGGCTGCACTTTATGAAGACGTTATGAAAGCGGGCAATGTTGTCATTCATTTTACACTCCCATACCCGCTCAGCCGGCTGGATTGTAAGGCCTGCTCCCTGCTGTCTTGTGATTTAAGCCTGTTTCTGTGGCTGCTGTGCTGCCTCCCTATAGGCTACAGTAATTAGCTCTGGAGGTCCATGCTTGGCCTAGCCAAAGCTGAAGTTTAATAACAGGACCTTTGTTTGGCATTGAGTTACAACTGGCTCGTAATATCTGCGAGATGTCAAGATGTCAGACTGCCTGTTGACAACCCCTGCATACCTCAGCGTACCTCAGTTTCCTAC